ACCCCGACCCGACTGTGAAACAAGAGCATGGACGTATAGGGAGGTCAAAATCGGGATATATTCCCCATTAGGGTCAAAGGGTCCCAAGCTAAATATAAGTGTGTATAAGGTGCAAAAGGTACCCCCCCCCCCCCCTCCCCCAGCATTTAATGTGGTATTTATAGAATGAGAAAAGGAACACATGTTGGTCCTTGACCATGCGTGACACGTGGGGTGTAACACCCCAGATTTTCAAGACTTTTAAAACTTATATAATAAAGATAGAATCTCATTAAATCCCAAAATACGATACAAAGAGTACGGGGTGCTATGCCACACCCGAGCTAGAGAACTCAGGTGCACAGGCTAAATTCTAAAACCTCAATCAGTATCAATACTAAATCATGGCACGCATGCCGAAAGGGAAAACTATCTAAGCTACGCCCCAAGCTTCTAGCGCGCTCCAGTGATCTACTCGTCTGTGCCTGAAAGCCAAATATATCTGTTCAGCGAGAGATGCTGGTAACCCACTCCAACGCGTTGAAATACAATACATATAGACATATATATAGATATACGAAAACCATTTTGAAGCATGAAGATATATCCTACGAGACTCTAGCTTTTAAAACAGGGATAGACTCGACAGATAGAGCTAAGCACAGACAACGGTTATACCAAGCATATACAGTTTACAACAGGCAAGACAGGTAAAGATAAGCACAATTAATAATCATAACCCAACATATTTCATCACATAGCACACTTTGTTGGCGCCACAGGACCAATCGCATGCCCATACATGAGGGTCAGCGCATATAGCTCTGACACGGCCCTGCAGCACCCTGCCCCGTATCGCAACACGGAGGGGTCGATCGCAACCGACCGATGAACCACAGCTCATCATAGTTTGATCGCAACCAAACAGTGGACCGCAGCCCAAGAGTATGTCATCTGACCGCAGCCAGGAAATATGAACCGCAGCTCATGTAGAAACGTTTGATCGCAACCAAACGGTGGACCGCAGCCCAAGAGTGTAAATCTGACCGCAGCCAGCTTCTGAACCGCAGCTCAGGAATAACCAATCCGATCGCAACCGAATTGGGGTATCATGCACACATAACACATAGCAAGCACATGCAACCCACATTAACACATTGGGAAGGGGGAGAAAACGTATAACAAAACCTATGCGTCATCCTTCACATACTAAGAATAATCCTAAGGGGTTCATACTTCTTTCACCTAGGTCAACGGGATACCAATTCAACTAGCATGTAATATATAAGACTCATACAACCTACGAACGGTACCCGAAATATCAAACTAGACATAGTCACGATAGACGGAGTCCGTTGGGACACCACGGGGATCGGGGGAACATCAAACGGGGAAGCCAAAATCCCAAATTGGGTATTTTTCCAGCGGGTAGCCGGTGGGTGAGAGTTCACCCGCCGGCGACGATGATTCCGGGCAGCGGGTGCCCGGCGGGCAGCTGCCCGCTGCCGGCGACGCCAACAATGGCCGCGGGTAGGTGGCGGGTCCCTTACCCCCACCTACCCCCCACTGACTCTTTTATCACAAAAACGTCCCGGGAACCTTTGTGGAACCCGAAACCATGCTTAGACACTTTCAAACGCAATTGATAACACACGTAGACAATTAACGTATCAAAATCAAGAAACATATGGCACATTACCTATCATGCTTTTCTAAACATAATCAACACCCAAACATACAAATTCCCACCCAATCTACCAAGAATAATACCATACGAATTCCACGATATAACCTAGGGTTCTAATTACTTTTAAATCAAAAGAACACAATTCATCTTCTAATGTCAAGATTAGGTAAGAATACCACATAAACATCAAGAACATCATATAATCATCAAGAACATCAAGAACACCATATAATCATCAAGAACCTCTTATCATCAAGATTACCCATGGAACCATAACACCAATTATCAAGATCATTATAACGAATCATCAACACACAAGAATATGGGGGAAATCCTAAGAGGGGAATCATAGCTATGAAAATAGGTTTTGTTGAGACATGGGTTACCTCTTAGCCTTAATTGATTCCTTGGCTATGAAGGGTCTTTCTTTAAGCTTTCTTCTTTCTTGATTTCTCCTAGGGGAATCCTTGGAATTCTTGGTGTGGTGAGAGATTATTGTAGTGGGAGTTCTAGGTGCCTCCTTATGTTCCCTATTTATATATCTAAGAGTCTTACTTAGGGCTTAATTACTATAGGTTTGCTAACTCTATTCCTTTTAGGACTAAGGATTGGGTTTAGGGATAAGGGCCCATGGACTATGGTGGGCCTCTCCTAATTAACTATTGTGATTTAATTCTTTCTTTTGGGTAATTGGTTAAATGATTAATTGATTTTAGGGATCGTAACACGGGGTGTTACATGGGGCTCATGCACAAGGGAAGTCGGCCTTGCTCATTCCCCACGTGTACCGAAATTCTTGACAATCGGGTTTGACAAAAGAAATAAGGCTCAAGGCTTCAAGTGGAGAAGGTCGAGTCACCTATCCAAACCTAAGATAGTTGGGGGCGAGTCAATAAATGGTAAGGCATTGCTACAGATTAGGCCTCTGCTCGGTCCTACGCATAGGGTCGAGCTGGTAAGCTCTGAGGTCGGTAATGGTCTGGAGTGCTTTCCCTCGACAAGACAACCGGATACCGAGTAAGGAAACGACACATGCAAAGACAGTATACTCCGGTTATATTCCCTATTAAGCTCAAAAAGTCGTGATTTTACCCTTTCTGAGTTTCCACGTTAAACGTCCAACCCCACTATTTCTTTCATAAGCATCCTAACTATACAAGCTGGAAATAATTTCCATTATCAGCCTTGTTTGGCAAACAACACTATTTGACTATCTTTAGTCGTTTAATTTCGCTAAAATGTTGAAATAAGTTTTTGATAACCAACCTTTAAAAAAATATATAATAAAGATTCATATCCAGAAAGCCAACTTTTAAAACGTTCCTAAGAGCAGTATTCTATGTTAGCTTTTTCATTTTTATTTCTTAAAACACCCTTGAACTTTAATTTAAAAACATTTTACTGCATTTTTCCTAAAATAAGAAAGTGTCACAATTTACAATTGGGGCATGATGCATGCTCCCTTTTTATAAGGGAGCCTCATGCTCCTTATGAGCAAATATGGGTAATTAATGTGGGGCGCCTGCATCGACAAAATATGTTTATTTATATTTTATAATTATATTTGATTGAGCTATGGGATCTGAAGTCAAAGATAATTGAACTTAAAAGAAGGAACCGAGAAAGATAGGTCCACAAGAGAAGAATGGAAGACTATTAGCTTGGAATAACGAGGGTAGGTCCAAAGAGGGTGGAGGGGAGGGGAAAGCTATATAGCTTGAAAGGTGAAGATAAGTCCACATGATGACAAAAGGGGGACTATTGGACTTTTAAAAGAAGAAAAGATAGCTTTTTAAATTATGATAGAAGGTCACGATCGGCCCCACCTAATCGACACCTGACTAGTAAGATGGCCCGCCAAACTCCCCTAGTCAAGATGTGGCCGGAGGGGGAGTCGAGCGGGCCCATCATATTGGTAGGCCAGTGAAGGTGGAGACCAAGAGGGGGTGTAGAAAGGGGTGTGGAAGGGCCTATAGAAAGGGGTGTTGTAGGAACGATGAGTTGTTCCACTTGGGGATGAAGGTTAGAAGGGAATGATTGAATTTTAACAAGAATGCCTTCAAGGTTAGAAGGGAATGATTGAATTTTAACAAGAATGCCTTCAAATTAAACGGCTCCCTAACGCCTAGTTAGAAGAAAAAAAAAAAAAAAAAAAAACAAACAAACAAACAAACAAAAATTGTAGCGTTAGTTATAGCTTAGGGACAATTCGAAAGGACAATCCTTATATATTTTTTTATCATTTCCTAAATCCAAGCAGACAATCGCTACCAACAACCTAAAAAATTCCTCTCTTTTTTTTAATCTTGCTTTTTTTTTTTGATCTTGCATTTTAACAAGATCTAACATTCTCAGGCAAGTGTGCACAACACTCCTCTCCTTGGCTAATATTACCCTCATTCTAGGCGCAAATTTTACGGTGGACGATGATCCATGTAGCAGGGTGAACCATTATGTACTGTTTATTTTTGTTTGATTCTCCACACACTAGTTTCATTATAGAAATATCAAAGTATCATTTTAATTCTACTCCATTTTTATTTAACAATATACATTATTGCATGATCTCTATTTTTTAGTTTCATTTTCTACACACAATAGTTTAATTATAATGCTGAAGTATTATTTGAAGTGTGCTGAAGTATTATTTGAATTACACTTCAAATATTATCATAAACTCTGTTTTTAGTTTCATTTAGTACACTAATTTCATTATAGCAATACTAAAATATCATTTTAATTTTATTATAGTTTCATTTGACGACCATAGTCTATACAACACTGTGTGAACCATGATCAGTTATATAACAATTGCATTCTAGGTGGGAACCCCAAGTGACTTATCTTGATGGGCTAGCATCCCTAGATGGGTGTACTCACACCACTTTTTCTGCTCTTTAGTCCAGTTCTGGTGCCCACGCCGGCCTTGCAGTCTCTGACTTTCACTTCAAGGTGCATTCAGCGTTACCGATAAATTATTGTGTGGACCATAACAAAAAATACATTTTTAATATACTAAATGTATATTATTTTTGTAATGAATGTACATTATGCAACATAATGTACACTCAATACAAAAATAACGTACATCCCTTGATTATAATGTACAAAATTTTTGTACTGAATGTACATTATTTTACAGTCTATAAAATATGGTCCACACAACTTGTGTGCACCATGGTCCATACAATAATAATTGAGCGTTACCAGGTTATTCTCTCATGTAGTCTACCAAGGCACATTCATGTTATCAAACTATAGTAAGCTCAATTTGTTGCTTGCTGATCAATTTGCATGTACATAGAAACTTGTAAAAAGCAAAATCATCAGAAAATTGGGAGAAAATACATTGCCTACATCTTAAATTTGTGTGCCCTTAAGATTTTTTTTTTTTTTTTTAATGCTACTAACTCTATTACATTGTAGTATCTGTTCAAATGTGTGCCCATAAGATGGGAAAAGCATAAAACTTTACTGGGAAGGAAAAATGAATGGTCAGCACTTCATTGAATGATTTCTTCAGGATGTGCTGCGGTTTCAGGATGAGTTGTGCCAGAATCAGTCGGTCGCTTTGAGTGATCAGGTATCCAAAGGGTAAGAATGGAAGATGCAGCTGCAAACATTACCCTCCTTGGAGCCCATTTCATACAAGATGCAACGCCTACATAGCTATCCCAGGAAGCCACCTATAAAACAGGCATAATTAGGATGTGCTGTAAATATGGGTATGTTATGGTGGTAGAGCTGCAATAATGCCACAAAGTCTAGTGCTTCTCTATTATCTTGCACAAATCAATACATTCGCAATCCAAACAGCTAGCAAGCGAACCATTACAAATTTCTATGATCTTGCCCAAGTTTTGCCATCCAAGTCAAGAAGAAAGTGTACCTTATTTGGGTTTTTGATGTTCCAAGCATGCAAGTTGCCATCCCCAGAGCCTACATAATCAAGTATCAGTTTAACTATCACAGACAACCACAACATTATTGTTCTGTATTGTCATAACATGTATTTACATGTGTATGACTATTAATTGGATTTTCTAAAACATGGGATCTCTTATTTAAGCAGAACATAAATGCAGTACCTGACAAAACGTATTGTCCATCTGGAGTAAAGGTTGCCTCTATTGTTGTGTTTGGAGATGGATCTACACTAAATCCACCTCGCTACATGGCAAAACAAATTTAATCTCTATTAGTTTCATAGGACAAGTAAAAACAATCATATATACAAGCAGAAACCTGTGATGACGAACATAACCTTCTCTCCACAATAAGCATCAAGGATATAAATGTTATTGCTTGTAGTCGTCAAAAGCATTGATTTGCCATCATTGCTGAATTTTATATCACAAACCTCTGCAGTATCCCCGCCAACAAGGAATGTATCGAAGGGTCCCTACAGATAAGATGGGGCGATCACTTCTCATGAAATCACTTTGTCCAAAGCAAAGAACACCATATGAGACCCAAACCTTATCATATGATCTAGAATCAAACAATTTGATGGCGCCACCTTCCATTGCTACTGCAAATACAAGACCTTGCTGGTCATAAGCAACTGTCGGCCTGCCTCGAAGATGCATAATCCCCTGAAAACAACAACAATAAGCATCTATCAAACTGGGTATTATGTTCTGGAAGAGTATAAGATGCATGGAATTGCAGGTTAATTGACAAATTAGTAGCCACTCTTGATGTTCTTTCCACTCTTCTTGCATACTGGTATTGCTTCTTAGATAAGATATGAGTTTTTTCGTAACTAAGAAATGTTCTGTATTTCTTTAAAATCAAAATGAACTTAACTTCAAATAAAACAAGACCAGTGCTACATATATTACCAACAAGACAACAAATTTAGCATATTCAGGAATTGTTTTAGAAGAGGCCAATCAAAGTTTTTTAAAACGGTTATGTACAAAAGGGAAACAGGCTCTGCCTCACTTTAAAGCACAAAGCAAAATGTCTTTTTTGCATGATATATATAATATAAATGGTCTATAATGCAAATTTGAAGACAAAAATACTATATAGTTGGCATCAATTTATAACAATACAAGCATATTGCATCCTTAATCATTGATGTATATGAGTATATCTCCATTAAGAATGATTGCTTTTGACAAGTGTTCAAAATTCTACAATTAGCATAATAAAAATAATAATAAATCATAAATTCCATTATTCATCAATCATTAATATTTATAAAACACAAGCATCATATTGAATACATATTAATCAAGCATCATAATTAACACATTCTATAAACACAACACTAATTACATGGGGTGTGGAGAGCCCCAATTCCCACATTTTAGGGCTCTCTTTTAGTCTTTTTTTTACCCAAAGGATGACTAAAAGCAAACGGAGAAAGAGAAAAGCACAGTGGTGATCAAGCTTCTTCTGGGCAAACAATGAAGAGATTGATGGATGAACAACAGAGTCATGGCCAAAGAACAAAGAACATACCAGAGGTGAAGCAATTGAACATACCTAAATTGCGAACTTCAAATGTTGTTGGCCAAAAAAAAAAAATGTTGTTGGCCATTCAAAACTTCAATTGGAGGCTATGGGCTTATTCCTAAGGTGTGGGCAATCTTATGTGAAATAGTTGTAACCCTAAATTCCTCAAAATGTGTTGATTTCACACAATGTATAAAAGCAAGCTTTGTGCAGCACTCGCTCTGCACTTAAGCAATTGATTCAGTCTACTTTCATATATTGTTGCACTTTGTTGAATCAAGGCGATAAGCCTTCGATCGCATCACTCCATTGCTTTAAGCGACAAAGTTATTGCTTTCAACAAATGATAGGCATTATGTAATTCCTTTATATGTTGATGTGTATATAAATGTTCTTTTCCATTTTTGCAGTAGAATAATAATGACAACCAACTAGCACAGACACAAAAACTAAAGGGCGTCAGTAACCAACTTATGTCTTTAGTTAAGTTAAACACAAATAGGTCATGCTAAAAATAAAAACAAAAAATAAATTGTCAACAAACCTGGCAAGCATTTACACGGAGATCCCATATTCTGACAGAGTGGTCAAGAGAACCAGACATAAAGCTATCATTAACGGGAGACATGCACAGTGACACAACCCTGTATCCAACTCACAATAACAAATGAACACAGATAAGCATATCAACATGTATAAGAGTGTTATGGAAAGGAGATTAGAATAATAGGAAAAAGAATGATCTAATTTTATGACTTCCTTTTTTCTCCTTTGAAAAATGATAATGATATAGACAAGCTTCATCCTCATCTTTTACCACCTTTAATAGGTAGGAAAATGATATTGAAGATTACAATATTGCAATTCTCTCATTATTTAATGATATAGATGAGCTGACTCTCTCATCTTTTCCCCACCCTATGATAGGTACGAAAATAATATTGAAGATAACAATATTGCAATTCTACCATTTCCAATTCAGACAAACTATGAGGCCAAAATGCTATCAATAAAATAAGCCTGACTGAAACTCTGGAGATAGATTGGTCCAAGTAGTCCATAGAGCCTACCTCTCTTTATGTCCCTTAAAGTAACGGAGGCACCGATTATCATACATGGATAGGTATCGCAATGATTCTGGCAGCAGATTTATAGCAGGGCACGTCAGGTACAATCTCAATAGACTGACAATTAGAATTTGTCCACAAATTAATACCTTCATGGGTGGCAATATTGTGTCTTGAAGAGCATATAACAGAACTAGGATGATGGGTAAAGCATACTTGATCAGCTCCATGCTGCTTATGATATGTGGTCTTCAACAGTCTGAAAGTTCATAGCAAACCCTTCAGAGAAAATCATCTAGTCATATATTCAGAATTAAATGTCAAACAAAAATGCGATATCCTTAGCAGAGGATCCTTTGGTGTGCTAACTTACTTGGCATTTGCAATGTCAATAAGTCTAACAGAATCATCCTCGCTTGCAGTTATCAATAGATCAGCAGTCCGATGAAAATCAAGTGAACTTATCTTTCCACCCTACGCAAAAGAAGTAAAAGTTGGGTCCAAAAGTCTAAATACTTGAACATCAACGCATCAGAGTGATGCTTTTCGGCAAAATTAAGTAAACTGAATTTCAGAACATCGAAGATTTGTAGTTCTGATGAAGTTATTGGAAGAACAATTTCTATTGGAAGAGCACGTTCATGCTACGAGGATTAAAACACGTAAGGGATACTCACAAAATCAGAGAAGACGGCTCCTACTGTCATGCTACGAACAATGTCGTCGTTAAGCTCGGAGAGTGCCTTCATCCTGTCGAAGAATCACAGCGCTTGTTGGAGCCTTGTTCTCTGTTTAGCGTCTAGGGTTTTAGGCCGACAAAGAAAGCGTTTACCGGTGGCCGCTTCACTATTTCTGATTAGCTCCCGTTCCCGAATAGCGATTACTCGAAACGCCGGCAAATTATACCGTGAACATGGTCCACATTATAATAATATAATATGGGTCATTGATAAACCTCCATTTTAGTATATTGAATTAGTTACCACAAACAAATTGCGTAAATAGTCTAATGTCCCAGTTGGTCAGAGCAGCCACCGTAACACTGCAGGCGTACAGCACTGCTCATGTTGGCCGAACCAACCCGACACCGGCGACGGACCACGTGAATGGTCCAGGAGGGGGTGGTCTACGATGTTATGTGGACGCGGGTTTCCGGCACGACACGGGCGAGGCTACTTACGGTATGGTAATTATAGCGCCAGATGGCTCGTTTGTGGCAGCAAGGAATGGCAAGTTACCAGTTTGTTTTTCACCACTTATGGCGGAGGCTCAGGCATACAAGGAGGCTTTGTCCTGGCTACTTGAACGGGACACCACATCAGTAAGTTTACTCACGGATTGCATGGAATTGGCAGCGATATTCAGGCACCATCATACGCCGATACATTCGTACGTTGGGGTCACAGTTGACCAGTGCAGGACGTTTATGTCGTTTTTTAATCGTATTACTTTGGATTATATTTCTAGGCAGGTTAATTTACATGCGCATACTTTAGCTACGTTAGCATTTACTCAGGATCAAGCTATGTACTGGGATGCTATCCCACCTGACACTATTTCGGCTTTGATTCATTAATACAATCGCAAGATTGACCTTCAAAAAAAAAATTAGTGTTCCAAATTTCGGTATTCTAAGTATATTATCAATTTTTTATAAAAATAAATATTTCAAGAATGTATAATTATGACCTATGACAAAAATAGTGCAGGGATGGGTAGTGATATGGGGGTTTGAGGGATTGGGAAGCCACCTGTCCCTCTAAATTTGGATGGTGTTACCATTACCGACTCTCTAATGGTTGTGGCATCTTATGATATCCTTTGGTAGATTGAAGAACATTCCAAATAAAAGAAGGATTACTACTAGGTCTAGCATCCAGAAAAGTAGAGCTCGGGTAATACTCTGCTTGGAAAACTCTTGCAACAAGGGAAGAGGGAAACTGAATGAGTCTCCAAGCTTGCTTGCAAAGTAAAGCAATGTTAAATAGATTCAACTTCCGGAAGCCAATACCACCCCAATCCTTAAGTGTGCACATGTGAGTCCAGGCTTTCCATCGTATATCCTTGTGGCTGCCATGCTCGGCCCCCACCAAAAAGCGTTCATGGCACATTCAATCTCTCTCACAATGTCCTTAGGAGGCGTTTGGTTCAGGTCATCTTAGATTACCTAGGTAATCTGAGTTTGGTAATGTTATATTACCTTGTTTGGTTCAAGTTATAAGATTACCTGGTAATGTTATATTACCTGAAAGCTGATGTGGCGGTAATGTTTCAAGGTAATGTGATTACCCCCATTTTTTTAAGTAATCTTAGATTACCTTGAATTATTCCAACTTTGCCCTTGTTAACTAATCCTTATATAATAATAATAATAATAATAATAATAATAATAATAATAATAATAATAATAATGAAATTAATATATGTTTATATAATCAAATATACATATGTATATTTATATATTTAATTTTTTTTAATATTTAAGCATTGATATACATTCATACATATAAATAAATACACACATTATATATATATATATATATATATATATATATATATATATATATATATATTATTGAGGACATTATTGTAAATTGATCCATATAATCTAAAATATAACCTTGAACCAAACAAGGTAATATTATATTACACCATCCAAACCAAACACACAAGGTAATCTTACATTCCCTACATCTCACATTACCTTCTTGGAAGTAATCCTATTACCTGGGGTAATCCAAGATTCCGTGAACCAAACGCCCCCTTAGGAATTTGGAAAACAATCACAACATATGAAGGGAGTGCTTGTATGATACTTTTGATGAGAATTTCTTTCCCGGCCCTTGAAAGGAACTTGTGGTTCCAGCTGTGAATTCTGTTAATGACCTTGTTCTTAAGAAAGTCCAGAATCTTCTTTTTGTTTCTGCTCATGAGGGAAGATAGACCAAGGTAGGTGCCAGAATTCCTAACTCTATCAATCTTCAAGATATTACTGATCAAAGTTCTCAGATTATCATTGACATTAGGGCTTAAGAACAGGGATGACTTGCTGAAATTGATAAGCTGTCCAAAATCTGTAGCATAGTCATCAAGAATGGATGGCTAGTTGTGCTTAAAAACAAAGAAAAACAATGGGAATGGCGTGAGTTAAAGAAAAGAGCACTTAACCAAATTTCATTGTATTTTTGCAAGAACAAGGCCTAACGTCCTCATCATTATTACAGCTTAAGAGAAGAGGGAGGAAGGGAAGAAGAGTTAACTGGGAGGGTGATGAACGCAAGTCAATCACTAGTTTAATTGTCATAGATCCATATTGAAAATATATAATCTTAACTAGTAGTACACATTATTTCACAATGCCATCATTCCAAAAAGGCAATAAGGGTGTTTGGTAAATAAATGTTAACTGATTGAATTGATAGTATAAACTGATTGTAGAAAGATGTTTGATAAATTAAACTATTAGATGATAGCTAATTACATATAAAATAACTTTATCAAAAAACTGATCAAAAAGACTACTTTGAGAAGCTTTTTAAATTTTAGTGTTTTAGACTGTTATAAAAAAACTAATTAATCAAACACTCGTATTGATTGTTTAACCATGTCAAACAGCTAATAGTTATCAAATAAGCCAAAATTGACTAACTAACTTTTTTACCAAACAGGGCTAATAACTAACATTAAGAAAAGAATGCATTATTACATGCAGGAATTAACAAATCTCTTATTCACATATTATGATGATATGAAGTAAATAACAAAAAGATAACTATTAAGTTTTTAAAAATATTGATAAAGATTCAATAAAAGGGAAATGGAATAAAAAAAGATAACTAATAAGAGTTACTTCCAGGACCAGTAATCCATACAGTGAGGAAAGAAGATGGAATAGCCCAACAAAAACCTTATCTGAAAAGAGAACTTCAAATTTAATTCAGTCCTGGAAGCACCTCCAAGTACCTAACAATTAACAGAATTCATTTCAGCTAACCAGGACTCAAAGATGACAAAAACAAAACAAAACAAAATTAGACAAGTCCCTCTTTACATTTGCTTTGTATGAAATAAAAGCCAAATTGAAACACAATTTCCTCCATTGCTAAAAGACCTGAAGTTATATTTTAAGGTAGCTAAAAGAATTCACTCACTATACAACCTTGACAATTATCCCATCCTCGAGATCAATCATTTCAAGCTCAGTTTCTATGTGGAAATGTTTGCTGAGCCAGACTGAGAGTCTTCATCTGTGATCGAAGTCCTGGGGTCACTTTTACCTTTCTCAATGTTTTCGGTTTCACTGATCCCCACAACGGCTGTTTTCAGTGAAGAGGAGAGAGTGTCTTCCATAGGAGTTGGAGTATTAGTGTCTGTAGACTGTTGACAAGAAGCAGAGGTATTTTCTTTGATTCCAAGATCCTTGCAAGCCGAAGCATTTTCTTTCACTCCACCTTTGTTAGAATTAATGAATGGTAGCCATGTAAACTGCAATGTATGTCCCTGCCAGCTTTTACCATTCAAAAATGCTCTTTCGGCAGAACGGCGTGATGCGAAAGATACCTGAGCAGATATTTTGGATGTGTCCAAATTGTCCTGCACCTCTGTGTCTTCAAGCTCCACAGAAGAAAGTTCACCAAAAGCAGAAAAGTGATCCTTCAGGACAGCAGCCTAGGAAACAGGAAACAAATATCTCTATCACTAATCAAAGAAAAAAGGAAGCTGAAGAGTACATCAATCCACCAACAAGAAATGGGAATATAGAGATAAAACATGAATGATGTGTGAAACGGGTGCCAAAATTCTTGCTGTGCATATCTATAAAAAAAAAATTAGAGTGCATCAATTGTGAGAATCTGAAAAGAGACTTCACGAAAAAAAGTGTGTGAGAGAGAGAGAATATGCAAGAGTCAGAAAGTTAAAGTTAAAGGTAAGCCCCAATACAACACACAGCTTTGGCATCACATCCACACATATGCATACAGAAGATGATGGAAAAAGTTATGAACACATACTCCCTACTCCCAACCCACAACCCTTTTTTAAACATTGATAAGGAGGAAATAAAACAAATGCAAGAGTTCAGTGCCTGAAAGGGAGTACAGAAAGATTACATTTGCCAGACCACTTGGTATAGGTGGATTGATTTTGAAAGCAGTGGGGCGATTGTCCAGTTTGTATCTATTAAAGATAAAAGGAGCCCCTACAGGTGCCAATGGACGAATTGACTGTTTCAGGCTTGAGGGTTCTGATGTAGCCACAGGAGAAGATGATTTTGAACAAGAGAGTAGTGCATTATTTGCAGATCTATTGCTATCAGGCACTACTTCAGTATGTTGAGATGATACAGCAATATCAGGTTCAGTGGAGCTTGATGTTTCAGCTTTTGCGAAATCAGCTACCTTTTCCACTTTAGGTCTCTTGGCAACCTGATCAGATGGCCCTTCATCTTTAAGACCTGAAGCCTGCAGAAAGCAAAATTTTGAGGTTTGAGGGACATTTTTACTTTTCTTTTTTTTTTTTGTTGGGATAAGTAAATCTCTTTAGTAAACTGACAGTGTTCTTGGATCACTTATCATTTGTCAGATTAACAAAACTATATTATAAATTTAGTAATAAGATGAGGCCACAAGAAGAACTAAATCATAAAGAATCATTTTATAGACATTACCATTTCTACTTTATGTCTCTTCACAACCTGATTACATGGCCCTTCATCTTTAAGAACTGAAGCCTGCAGAAAGAAAAATTTTGAGGATAGGGGGACAGAGTGTTTTTTTTTTTTTTTTCGAATTTATAAATGAATAAATAAAACAGAAAACCTGATAGTGCTCTTGGATCTCTTTCATTTGTCGGATTAACAAGACTATATCGTAAATGCAATCATATGATGAGGACACAAGAAAAACTAGAATATGATTATATGAACATTCACTTTACATTATACATTAAAGTTTATTAACCCTACATGTTATCATCCAATGACAGCATGAAGTAATTTTAGTAAAGAGAATGGTTTCTAGAGTCTGTTACTAGGATTCTCAGTAGTGGAAAGTACAAGCCCAAGCAACATACAAACACTTGAAATTCACTTTGGTAAAGACTGTGAGATACTCTAACACCGAGATAATATGAAGCATTTCAGCATAGAAAAACTTTTGTTGAAATAAAAAGAAAGGGAATTTGCAATTACTTGTTTCTCAAATTCATCCAATTGACGACGGAACTCATTCCGCTTCTGATCAAGCATCTCCTGTTTTTTACGAAGTTCTTCTCTTAACAGTTCTATACTCTCCATCTTCTTTTGAGGAGGTGCTGGGGCTTTTGGAATATTAGCAACCATGGGCTTAGGCATATTGGGGATTGTTCTAGGCAAAGATTGGATACTATCTTTACCCTTATGAGCAGCAGAAAGATGGGGTGGAGCAGAAGCAGGCATCACTCGAGTAGCTCCATTGTGTGGAATATTGTCCCTATTAGCCCAACGAAGCTTGATAAAACGGTTGCCCATAACAGCATCAGGTGCCTTTAAAGCTGCCTCAGCTTCTTCTCTCTTAGAAAACTGTACAAAAGCTCGTTCACTTTTCTGGGGGGTATAAATGTCAATAACCTCTCCAAATTTTTTAAAATGTGAAAAAATAGCTTCCCTTTTGTTGTCTTTTAGTGGAATACCATTCACAAACAAAGTAGAATTTGCCTTTTGACAAGATTTCCAAGCATCACATCCAGAATCAGTTTGTGATTTAAAAGATGTTCCTGTTATTGCTGGATCAAGGTTTTCTACATTAATATGCTTCCCATGACTGTAGACACCCTGACTGCTTAATGAATCTAGATCTTTTTTAGTTTCATTTTCAATATGACTTGAAGAATCCACGGTGGGTCCAACTTTCTCTTTGATTTCCAATTTCCCTTTTGAACTACCAATTCTTCCCCAAACACCTTGAGATACTGTGGCAGCCAGATTACTTCTTGTTGGGTGTTCAATATCGTAACCATCAGATAGCTCAGGCTTTCCATGATCAGAAGGGTCCATGTCCATCAGCTGCACAGTTTCACCAACACTTGTCCATAAAGGCTGATCAGGGTCATATACATCAGCTCCCCCAGCCATAGAACCTCCAGTATGTGCTTCATTCAATCCTAATCCATCATCAGTTGATACAGGTTTTCCACCTTTCATATGAGCTTTACTATTAACCAATGAACAAGAAGGGATCACTGCAGGTAAAGCTCCTTGTCCACTAGCTGTTCCCAGCAGGGGTGCATTACTAAGCGAAACGGGGAGATTAAACTGAGAAAGGCTCTGCAATTTTGGATGCATAAAGTCAAGAAGTTACACAGAAAACCATGAAAAACTAGTGTTTCCAAAACCCTCTAAAGGAACCCCTTCAATTATGAAGATTAGACAAATTATCGTTATGATAAAATATAGTAATTTATTAAGAAAAATTGCTCCAGCAAGCAATTTCAAAACGAACAAAATCCAACAAAGATTCAAAAATAAAAATAAAAACCTAAATAAGATTGATCAGTTAATATCTTGCCACCGAAATTAAAAGTGGATAAGTATGAACAACACCCATGTGCATGCCTGTTCAATATCCATTCAAAGTTATTGTTAAAACATGAGATACTGGTTGTCTCCATCGGATTATAAAGCCCTAAGTTCACAAGGGGAAATGAAGACATTTAACAAATCAAGGCCTTATATGTGTAAGCCTAGATGATGGATAAAGTTATAGTGTCTAAACTAAAAGAAGCAAAATTAATTAACCAACTGACAAGCACGCAATATGATAAATTCTAACAGCCTGGTATACGATTACCACACATTTATTCACCATCAAAATCTACATATCTATATTGACTATAAAGAGTTTTGTGTTCTTCTGCAGAAAGGCATATACCTGAACATCCTCAATAACAATACGATTCATTCCATGCTCCATTGGGCACATGTCTCCTCTTAGACAAAATCCACGCTCTTCAAAATCTTTACATCTTTGCCGAGGTATGCCCATACCAATTGTAGGATTCATGGGTGTCCTAAGTGCTCCTTGCAAGCCAAGGGGATGGAGTGGATCAAGACCAGTAATAGGCATTCTGGGAATCATTCCAAATGAACTCCAAGGTGAACTTGGTGTATTAGAAACATTTGGCAAGCCCCTTCCAGCAAAGAGACCAGGTGGGACAGGAACTTGTTGAGCCATCTGGGATGCAATATCATTTGGGTTGAACCTAGAATCACGTTGGCCCCATATACCTGGTTCCCTTCCGCGAGCTCTGCCAGGACCAGGTTCTCCAGACAGTGATTGGTTTGACCTTATTCTAAGGTTGGAATCGTATTGAGGTCGGGAAAATGAATTCATGCCTCTTCTTTGTACACTCTGTTCTTTCTCAAAAGAAGCAGATTCAGAATCCTTGTAAAGGTGTCCATTTCCAATGGGCTTGTTGCGCTTCCTGTAGGGTCTCGTCAGAACTGATTCAAAAGGATCAGTGTCAACAGACTCAGAATGTGTCTCCCTCCTGCGATGCTTATGATTACGATCATCATCATCATCTTCACTGATTTCTTTCTCTTCAGGATCACTATTACAATCAGAAGATGAAAGAACTAGCTTTGGAGATGAAACTTTTAGCTCCATGAATTAAAGTGGTCAAACTTAATTTATGAAGTCAAAAACTTCATATTCCAGGCAAAAATGCAGCTACTGGAAATAATTCATTGGGCAAAGCCAATTCAGCATTCTCCTGTCCCTGGAAGGACAAAAAACAGTAGCAAAGGCAAATAAGATATTTTATTTAGGGCCAAAATATTTGAAACAAAAAACTACAATGAGGGATTGCATAAGCCAATCTACAAAGAAGACCCTTCTTTCATCAAAGCCATAAATTTGGTTGTAGACTTGTAGTAGTTTCTGTATACTGTCATGACATGCATACACATACAAATTCAATATCTATGGCTCTGAACTTGACAAAGATTACGTTTCATAAACTAAAAGCATTATTTACTGAGAGAATACAATTCAATGACTCCAATTCAAATGCTAAAAATTGGTTCTGACAACGATCATCTCCTTGCACTACTACTACCAATGAACTGCACGCATTTTTATTATTGTTTGATATCGTGTATGTAACTATGTATTTGACAATGTTATGGTTGACGACTTGGCAATTCTTATTTATCAGCTAGACAAAGAAATTCAGTGAGAACTTTTGCAACCTCGCCCTTGTGCATAAAGAAACTAGTTGGACAAGAAGATCTTTGATACTAAAGAAGTGCTGTAGAAGGCCATTCAATTCCTAAGCTTTCTATTTTAAGATCTCACCACATGATGCATGCCTTCACAAGTGAACTGAAACCATTTATCACACCTAAAAAGGGATATTCTCACAGCATTAACCTACATTGTGATATCAACTATTTGTAACAAGGATCTTTCAGCAACATGTAATCTTGATAATGCATAACCACTCTTTTCTTAGTTTTCACTCATGTCAAAAAAATGTGAATAGATTGCATGGTCACAGATACCAGAAATTGTAATCTTAAATCTTAATAATGCATAATCACTTTGAAATTTTAAGAGGTCAACATTTCTTGCTAATATGTGCACCTACATGCATTGTTTTCTGATATGATTTAACATTAGCTCCACGATACTTAAGTTGGGGGCTAACTTCTACGCTTGAGCTAGCTTTTGTGGTGGAGTTAGGGTCTTAAGCTTGAATGCCATATCATTTGGTGCTCTAGTTGAGAGACCGGTGTGTGGTGGGAACGACATGGAAGAGGGCTACCCAGTACTTGATAAGTTTCAAACGGAACTGAGAAGTGTTCGGAGTGAAAGTTGTCTAAAGTGAGAGCCATCTGCTCGTCCAGTGTCGACTTAGCGTAGGGGTGACCTAGGTAAGGACTACCTGATGCTAAGAAGAGTCCAGAGTATGAGTCCCTGTGGACATCAGCTTCTCAAGGGGTGGCAATGATACGATCCCACATCAGCTCCAAAAGAGATTGTGGAGTGGTACATAAGTTGGGGCTAAACCTCCACTATTGAGCTAACTTTTGCGGTGGAATTAAGGTCTAAGCTTGAGTGTTGTATCATATTCCCTCATAGAACTATTACATTCTAAGTTTCCTTGCTAAGAAAGATGAAAAAATAATCTTAAGATACCATAATACTCTCACCTAGCAAGGAAGGGGTTCCATAAAAGGGGGGTTCAATTCCGAAGTTATTCAAATAAAAAGATCTGGGTGTTCAGTTTTATAGACAAGATGGTTGGAAAAGGTCTTTGATAGAATATTATTTACATATTTTCCCCTTGCAAGACAGCAAAGTTTTTGTGTGTCTGCAACCGGACCCAGCATAAACTACAGCAAATAATTTATTTATTTTAAGTGAATCAAAACAAGCTTTATTGACACACATCATCAAACATTATTTCTCCAGAAATGTAACTCTATGCCGCTTCAATAGGGTTGGCAAAGTACATAGAATACTTCAAAAAGAGTTTCAAGTTTTATAAACCAACTGAACACGTGAAATGACAAGAACCAATTAAAATACTTTAGAAATTCTACCTCACTAGAAGCATCTGAAAGACTTAAACCCCATCCGTTCACCTATACATCAAATTAAATGGATTATCCACATCCAAAGTAAATAGTCTGAGTCCTACATTATCAGCATACAAGGATGCCAGCGCCCAGCATGATAGACCGAACGAGGGAAGAAATGAAACAAAACTCTGGCTCATCAAAAATAATAATAAAAGTTGCCAATTTATCAATATATTCTGAGTGCATTAGATAGAAAACATAAGAACAGCTCCCATTCTTTCTAAGTAGACACAAAGGAGAGCATCCAACTACCTAAATTAGATTAGTAGTAGAGTTTGCAGTCTTAATCAAGCATTCACTAGCCACGTTTATGAGCTCTAACCTAACCGTTAAATACTAAATAACTTAAGAAAACAATCGAAACCTTAAAATTAAAAAATAAAATAAAATAAAAATAAAGTTACAAGCTTCAGCTCTAAACAAAATCCCTAATCCAATAGGAAGACATGTAACACAGAACATGAGCATCGGAAATAGTTTATAACATTAGCCATAGATAAATCGGGAGCTAGAAACAAAATACAAGGAAGAACATTAGGGACAAACCTCCTACGTATAAATTGGCGTCTTAGGGTTTCGATTTCCCCAATCAAAATTCGAATGCGTGGGAGTCCAGTAACAGGCAGGCCGTACTTTGGGCTTCTTGCCTTCCTGGTATATCTGTTTTGGAATGAAGAAAAGCTGAGAAAGAGGGTTTTACAGAAAGAGCTTGGTTGAAAACTTATGGGCGATTGGAATTTGGAATGGTAAGTCCCCATATTTTGTTGAATTTCAATTTTATCCTTACCAACGACATTTCTTTTTCTCAAATACTCCTTAGATTTGAAGTTTTGTTTTTGCTTCTGTTAATAGACATCAAAATTTGGAAATTGTATAAATTGCCAGTTATGCTCTTTTAGCAAACTCGAGGTAATGAAAGAAATAACTCGTACAACAAGCTATTAGAATTTAGATCTATGAGAGTGTGTTAGAAAGAGATTTTTTGTATATCTATCATCTATTTATTTATCATTATTATAATAAAGTAACAACTTTGGCCTAAAAAAAAATTCCGCCTGCACAATTCGGCGTCGTTTTAATAAAATAATTCAATCAGTCGAATTAATTGTGTTCACATTGCCTTACAATTTTTAATGTCCTATTGCCGGCTAATATTGTATATTACAAATGTAAATTAATAGACTTCTAATAATGAAAGAGTTCTAATTACATTGAGAAGCTAACTTATAATCTACATTTATTTACATATATATACAGATACAGATATATAGATATACACATACAGATATTACATCTCTATGGGAGAAAACGCTTTGAAAAAAATAATCTGTTGATTGTAATCTTGGGTCTTGAAACGTTTCCAACAGCCTTCATAGTTCCAAGACAATATTCAAAATTGAAAAATAAATTCCAGCGTCTATATAAAGCTCCCTTGATATCAATATTCACTCTCAAGTTCACCATCTCTCCAGTTCGAGCCACCTGCAAATTAGAAACAAAAAACCAAAAATCTGGGCAAAGATACCATGCCATCTTAGTATATTGCTGTTAAAGATATTGGCCTCTGCATATTGAGAGAGCAATACGAGTGAGGTGTGTGAGATGTTATGAAATACCAAAAAATAGAGGAGTAGAGAATGTTTGGTCTACGATCAAAAGGTAAACCAATTTTTTTTTTGTATAGTGTTCACTGTTTAAGGTTCAAACAAGTCTTTCTCTGCCTAATGTTTCTGTTTGTTCACTAATCTTACTTGCAAGGAACATTTATTCATGTTAACATGCAAAATGGTGATGTAAACAAATACAATAAATTTTTCAATGAAGGGAAGCTATATTCTATTAAGAACTTTTTGGTTGTCAGCAACTACTATATGTATAAAACTAATGATCACAAATATATGATCAGGCTGAACTATAAAACTGAGGTCAAGGCAATAAAATCAAAAGATTTTCCTATTAACATGTTTCGTCTAAAGAGTTATGAATGTTTGAAAGATTCTACTGAAGTCAATGATAAGCTGTTGTTTGGTAAGTAATTTCTTCATTTTATGCTATCTTTCATTAAATATTTTGGATCAATCTTGATGTATTTTCTGTATTTAAAGATGTAATAGGCAGAGTAGTTGAAATTCATGCCCCTGACAAAATCATTGGTGGTAAACCAGCCAAGCTAATAGACCTCAAAATTGCTAACAATGAGTAAGCTGCATACAATCCAGCTATTCATTTGTTTAAAATGACAATCTGTTTTTCTAACACATTTGCATATAGGGGAAATACATTAAAATGCACAGTGTGAGACAATCATGTAGCTATCATGCTACCATTCTATAATGCAGATCTGAAAGAACCCAGCTTTGTCGGGCTAAAATTGCCAAATGGTAAGTTATCATATTATGTTCTTTACTATTTTTTTTTTTTTTTATGTTTTCCTATTAAATAACATATTATTTGATTAACATATCTATCATTAAAATAGGTGAAGTCAAGATCACCAGCTCCTATGATGCTACGAAACTTTATTTCAATGCATCTTATCAGGAATGTGTTGATTTCAGGTCAAAGTAAGTGCCTAGATTACAATATACACAGTTCACATATTATATTTTATACACAGTATGTACATCTCAAGTGGAGATTATTTTTTGGTGTAGGTTAACTGATGTCCATAGTCCTTTACGCAGTATCAATACTGTCACAGTACTGTCCTAGTCCACAGGTATTTCTGAATTTAGAAGTGGTGTTGTGGCTGTCACTTCAGTGGGTGATCTCTTGAAAAAGAAGGAGGTGAGATTGTTTAGTTTTCTAAACCCAAAAATCTGTTTTAATAAATATAATACATATTTCAGATTATTTATATCTAACCAAGTACATTATGTATGAGTGCAGGATGTTGAATTTCATGTTCCAGCTGAAATTGTAGGCAGTGAAGGGTCTTTGGGCTGGATGTACATCTCTTGCATGTCACCAGGATGCAACAGAAAGCTCAAGAAAGAAGGAGATGATATGGTTTGTTCAACTTGTGATTAAATATATATATATATAAAGAAGGAATGACCAGGTATAGGGTGATAGTGAGGGTTCTGGATAAAGATTTAAGAGATGCTCCATTTCTTTTATGATGATGTGTTTTTACTAGGGGAAAAAATATAGAATATTTTAAATTCTTATTATTATTTTTTAATTTAAGAAAAACAAAACATAGTGAATGAAAAAAATAATATTGAAAAATTAAAATTAACACAATTTTACTACATTGTGTTTCATAACATGGTTTATACATCACGTGTTAAAAAAAAAATTATTTTGTTTCATAGACCGTTTCTTGGAGGAGGTTTCGCCATCGTCTTCGGCCTCCATCAACAAAATGCTATCCATTCTGGCAGCGAAAATTACACGCAAATAATTGTAAAATGCAAACTATTGCCTCATCCCTAATAATAATAACAATAATAACAACAACAACAACAACAACAACAACAACAACAATAATAATAATAATAATAATAATAATAATAATAATAATAATAATAATAATAATAATAATAATAATAATAATAATACCTTGTAACTAAGGACAATGGTTTTCCACTGCCATTTGCACAGCTTCGCGTTACGCTGGTAACCCTTTACCTTCATGTTGGTGGCAATGGTTTCCCAGATGAGATTGTTCGGCAGTTTGGCGGGGGCGAACGCCGGTTCCAGCCCCACCTTAACACCCAACATATCCATGTTTTCTTGAAAATTCCAAACCACCTTAACACCCAACATATCCATGTTTTCTTGAAAATTCCAAAAGTACCCTACGACAGTGGCGTCGTTTACATTAATTAAGATTGGGCTAGGGTCACTCAATTGGGCTATAATGTATATGTGCCAAATCACATTAAAAGGTTGAATCCAACCAATTAGCTAGTCTAACCCATGTTTTCACTGTTAGTTTCAGAATTATCATCATTTCCTCATTTCCTCTTCTTGGGGGTTACTTCTGCCTTGTCTCTCACTGGGCTCGATTTCTTCATCCTCATTTGATGATAGTGCCAGTGACCGTGTCTTGGAGGTACCATCGTCGTCTTCAACCTCCATCAGTAGAATGCTATGCATTCTTGTAGCAAAGAGTCCACCTAATTCATTATAGAATTCAAACGACTGCGGCCTCATCTCTATTTGTTGTATGCCTTTACTCTATAATAATACCATGTAACTAAGGACGAGGGTTTTCCACTGCGATTACGCTGGTAACCCTTCACCTTTATGTTAGTGGCAATGGTTTCCTAGAGGAGATTGTTCGGTAGTTTGGCGTGGACGAACGCCAGTTCTAGCCCCGCCCTAACACCCAACATATCCATGGTTTCTTGAATATTCCAAAAGTCTCTTGCGACAGCGGAGTAGTTTATATTAATTAAGATTGGGCTAGGGTCACTCAATTGGGTTATAATGTATATGTGCCAAACCACATTAAGAAGGTTGAATCCAACCAATTAGCTAGTCTAACCCATGGCCTTATAAACCCATATGTTCTCTCTTATTTTGTCAAATGTGAAACTCTTAACATGATATCAGAGCAACTTCGATCCACTTTGAGATTCAAACCCTAATACTAATATACTATTAACTATATGCATGCTATATTATATCATCGATCTACTCATCTCTTCCAATTGTTGGTTGAGAAGAGCATTGGTTAGGGCATCTCTAGTCTGAACCCTTATTTTATCAATGTGGGACTCTTAACATGGTATCAGAGCATGTTCAGTCTACTTTGAGATTCAAACCCTAATACTAATATACTATTACCTATATGCATGCAATATTATGTCATCGATTTACTCATCTCTTCGAAGTTAGTTGAGAAGAGCATCGATTAGGGCATCTCTAGCCTCAGCCCTTGCTTCCTCTCTATCCCTTCTTTGCTACTCCCACTCTCTCCCTTACCTCTCCCCCATCAGCTTCTTCTTCTCCAGCTACTCCATCATTTTCCGCCACTCCGTCTCTCTCACTCTTCTCTCTTCTTCTCACTTCATCTCCATTTTTATTTGCTGTTGTGTAAGCTTCACAATCTCTTTTAAAGTATGGGCTATATTCCCATCGCTAATTTCTGAATTATTATTATTGTCTTATTTCCCCTTCTTTAAAAGGTTCCTCCTGTCTTGTCTCTCGCTAACCACGTTTTCTTCGTCGTCGTTGGATGACAGTGCCATAGACTGTTTCTTGGAGGATGTTACGCCACCGTCTTCATCCTCCATCAACAAAATGTTATCCGTTCTGGCAGCGAAAATTACACGCAGATCATTGTAGAATGCAAAATATTGCCTCATCTCTACGACTCTACTTGTTCCATGCTTTCACATTCCTATAACAATAACAATAATAATAATAATAATAATAATAATAATAATAATAATAATAATAATAATAATAATAATAATAATAATAATAATAATAATAATACCTTGTAACTAAGGACAAAGGTTTTCCATTGTGATTTGCACAGCTTTGCGCTACGCTGGTAACCCTTTACCTTCATGTTAGTGACAATGGTTTCCCAGAGGAGATTGTATGGCAGTTTGGCATGGACGAACGGCGGTTCCAGCCCCGCCCAAACACATAACATATCCCTTGTTTCTTGAATATTCCAAAAATCCCCAGCGACAGCGTCATCGTCTATATTAATTAAGATTGGGCTATAATGTATATGTGTCAAACCACATTAAAAGGTTGAATCCAACCAATTAGCTAGTCTAACCCATGTTCCCACGGCTAGTTTCAGAATTATCATTATTCCCTCGTTTCCTCT